GCTTCCAACCGATTTCGAATGAATTTGCATTCCACGAAATTGATGGTGCACTTTTAATTATCCTTAAATTCGATTATCTTGACAGACAAATTTCAATTAAGCTGCTTATAGAGGAATTTCAAAAATATAATTTGAATGTATCCACAGACGAATGGTTATACTGGAATCATTGCAAGTGGACGAACAGCAGCAACGGTTGCAACTTTGACAATCAACCAAATTACACCATCTTCAGCATTCACCTTTCAAGGCCCGAATAGTGCTGGTACTGGATCGCTAGTTATAACTGATATGGATACTTTGACGAGAGTCGGATGTGGATCCATTGTGTTGAAGAACGTCGGTTGATCCACTTTACGTGATAATAGACTTTTCAGGAACTCTTCATAGAAGATGTTCGTGGGTGACGACGTATTCGGAAGACGCTGATGAATGATTTGGTTGAGTTTTTGTTGTTTAATTATTGTTGGCCAGCTTTGAGCCTTAAAAGAAAACAGTGAAGGGTCAATAAATTGCTGTACTTGCAAAAATGGCAAACAAATGGAGAGGACAGCAAGGGAACACAGCGTTCCCTTTTCAGGAAATGCGTAGTAGAGTACATAAAAACAAAAGGAACTCGTTTCAATTTGAAGGAATAAGCTTTTTTCAATTGTTCTTGCACCAAGACTTTCCCTTTTTTCTGTCGAATAAATCATGCATCCAAACATTTTGGGGTTTCTGGTATAAGGAGAACCCAGCAAGGTAACATCTAAATCCTGAGTTTAATTATTGGGTCTCTTTCGATTCCAGACTCAATAAAATTGTTTGAAATTTTCGATAGAATGGCTCGCGATCGAAAACGATGCCTCAATACGCATACATTTTGGCTTGTTTTTTGGTAGGCAAGACATTGATCTGCTTTTAAAAAGCTAAGAATATGTCTTCACAAAAAGATAATTCAGGACGGTCTTTCTTCGTTTATGACTTTTAAAACAGAACCCGTGAATAAGGCTTGCCCGAAATGGAAGGTCTTAATTAACACGCGTATACAAAGGAGCCAGTTCGTGATCCGACGAGTTGAACGAACCCCGATACTTATGCTCTTCGGTGGGTTTTAAATATTCTGTAGACAACGACCCACAATATTGTGAAATATTTAAGAGCTGTCTCCGATATGTATAAAGCTATATTTGGCTAAGTGCTAAAACTTGGAGACATGAAATTTTTTATATAAGGTATACACGGAATTAAATTATTTTTATTTTTTAGTTTGAATCAATATAATCATTTGACGCAATGAAGTGTAAATTGCAAGTTTTCAAATCAAATGCATATTTTAGGGTTTATTTAAATGACTCATCCTTTGATTTTTCACACTATATATAAGCCATGAACAAAATTTTGTTAATTGGTTTGTAAGGTTTCCAAGAATTGTACAAGAAAAATGACGAGGCTCGAGTTAGTTGCATTGATGGTCATTCGTATATAAATAAAAAATAGCGCAAATTCAATTTTCAAAAACTGCAACATTTTTCATGAAGGGCGCGAAACCTCTGCATTCTGCCGCCATCACAGAGATTACGGCACTTTTCATTTTCGTCATCCTGTATCAAAGAAAGTGGGAAAAAAGTTCGGAAAATTTTGAAAACTATGAAATGCGACCATCACTCTAAAACGTAAGCAATGCTAATAAAACTGCGTAATTCGGATAAGCTTCGTAAGAATTCGATGAATCCTTCATAAAAAGACGCGTGACTTTTTCTCCGGATTTTTTTTTAGATGTCTAAAAGGTCTGTTCCCATAATACCAAAGAAAACCAAAGCGAACACTCGGACCGCAATTTGATTATAAATTAACAGATAAATTTAATGAACTAGCTTAAAAGCTAAGGAGAAACATATTCGATAAGTTTGAAATTCGGTTCCAATATTTTGATTTTCCCGGTAATTAAGTTGGCGAATTGATAAGGTTATGAATATATTTCTCATGTCTGACGGACAAGCAAAGCCGATACTGCGCTGGATTTTTCATGTTCAGTCAACCATGAAGTGGTCAGTTTATTATTCTAACCATGAACAGAACTGGTTCGCCATTTAATATTTAAAAAATAATCTTGCTGGCGGGAACTCAGGGTCTACTGGACCCTGTGTTTCCAACTATGAAGAGAAGGTCTAACTTATTTTTTATTTTTTGGGGATGAGGTAAAGACATGAGTCAAACTAAACCCAAGTTCATTGGCCTGACACTTCCTTTGTCCAGAGTCCTCTTTTCTTAATCCCTCCAGCGATTCTGAAACCCAGCCACAGCTCATTGCGTCTTGTGACCAGATGAGCCAAGCCAGGGAGTGGTTCAGTCAGCATCTATTTTTTTCCTCTGGTGGCATTTATTCATCATACGTATAATCCTCAGTCTTTCGGTTACAGTGCTTTAATATTCAATAGCAGTCAATTTATCAACCATTATTTGAAGTGTGTGTGCCGGAAGTATACTCGCATGTTTCTGCATGTCCAGTTTTCTGTGGCAGTTGGTCTTATTTTCACTTTATTTATGATATGTTCATATGCTAAACTTGATAATTTTTCAACATTTATCAAGACACGGTTTTTGATTCAAAGAAGTTTTGTCAGAATATATTTAAAAACTAATGACTTCCATTGCATTTCTCTTTTTCTTATGGCAAAGGACTTAGTAGTCCAATCAAACATTATTTTCTCTGCTTTCTAAAAACCATAAAATATTCACTACGAGTTTCCCCTGTATTTTTTTTTAAACCTGCTGGATATCTTGGTTCTCAGATCTTTTTTCCGTGGAACGCAATTATTCTTATACGAAATTCAACCTATTCCATGACCCTTTTCCATTAAAGTGCATTGGAAGAGCAATAAATTACAACACTTACGGACATGCACTGTTCACTAAATTGAGACATGCACCGAACTTTAAAATAAAAATTAGAACTGCAACAAGCAATAATTCCTGCTGAAGATGCTTACTATATAGGGTTACCTGAATGTTATTATTTTTCGAGGACAAATGAGTAGAAATGTGATTTTTGAAAAATCAATACTGCTGTGGATTTTTGTTTTAGGTGTGCCATAAAGTCATTTGTAAAATCCTGCAGACGTACCGTGACAGATACACACTTAACAAAAATATGGACATCAAGCGATTGAATACAATATTCAATGAGCCGAAAGTCAAATTTTCCCCTCGGGGCAGTTCTGGGGTTTTCTTTGTTCTTACCCCGTTTTTCATGGGCAAGTTTAAAGAAATGTGAACGTTATTATTGACTAGATATTGTAGGAGAATGCTGTTAGTAATTATAATCAATTGTGCAGCTCAGAGAACAAAATGCATCTACTGCAGTGCAATGAACAAGCTGCTGGTGGGCTAAAGCAAATTTGGGACATTTTTAATGAATTCGATGTTGTGCCTGGACTGCCTACATAGTTTGTGTTCTTCCTTACGAAAATATTTCATCCAAGCTCATTTTAATCGATGTCGTTCGGGTGGAAGTAATAGAAGTACAATACTGCATTTTTTGCTTTTTCATTGATCATCTTCTACATGTGCGTACAGAGATAAAAATAATTATAGTAGATTAAAAAATTAATCTAAAAAACCATGTTTTCAAAAAGCAAAAAATAACCTTAAATGTGGTGCGCATCTATTTCATTTGTATTTCACTTCTTCCCAACAATCTCCATGCGCACCACGTTTAAGGTTATTTTTTGCTTTTTGAAAACGTGGTTTTTTAGATTAATTTTTTAATCTACTATAATTATTTTATTCTTTTTAAAAAATATTCTTAAAATTTATTTTTTCACAAAAGATTGCATTGTCATCAGTTTCTAGGCTATCCTGAAAGTTTCAGCTTGATAGCTAGTCGGGAAGTGAGTGAAATTTGAGTTTCAAAATTTGATCCGGACAAACAAACAGACAAGAAAGTGAGTTAATAAAAACGTGTTAATTAATTAGAAAAAAAAATGTTCCAGGGGGTGGGATTGAACTCGGACCTCTGCAACCAATTCAGTTCACCATGGGTTTTTTTCTTGGGGCCAAGGAAAACCTGCTCAAAGTTTTATTATAGAAATCTACTATAATTATTTTATTCTTTTTAAAAAATATTCTTAAAATTAATTTTTTCACATAAGATTGCATTGTCATCAGTTTCTAGGCTATCCTGAAAGTTTCAGCTTGCTAGCTAGTCTGGAAGTGAGTGAAATTTGAGTTTCAAAATTTGATCTGGACAAACAGACAGACAGACAGACAAGAAAAGTGAGTTCATAAAAACGTGGTAAAATTAAGTTGAATGATGAGCTTTTTTGTCTAAAAGACCTACCATGGTGCAATTATAGGCTAAAAATCAAATAGAAGTTATGAAAATGAAGAAAGAAAGTACGCTCCAGACCGACGAAATTGGGGTCATTATGCAAACCAACCAGCAGCCTGGGTCATATAACTTTTTTTTAATAAGGAAGGTGAATATTTGCTTAATTTGTCTGCTTGTTCTGTCATATTTTCCACGATTCCTTGGGAGAAAAAGTAAAAATAAAGATAAATCCCGGAAACCTGTTCCTGCACTCCCTGAGTCGATCAAAGCACTCTTCCATATTTGGAATTGATTCTTGGAATCAAAAAGGTTATCATATCATTAAAGTTATGCATTTTTTTCCTTTTGAGTGTATGATGTTAAAAGTGTGATGGTCATTGCCGATTATGGAATGAAGGGTAATAATTCGTGACGTCAAGACTTCCAGTACGTCCTCTAACCAATCTGGCCATATTTGCATTTGCATGCAGTATTACAAGGAATAAGATTGACATCTTCCAACCGACCTGTATAGTTCCTGATGAAACCATATCTGATTAAAGTCCGCGAACAGATCTAAATATGCTTGAACAGATCTGACTTCTTTGACTTACGCCATGTTTTGAAGCCATTTTATATTCCTATATAGCCTTCTTCGTATTTTCAAATTATTTTTTAAATCTGTGAAACAAGGGAGTTTCAATTCAGAATTGTTTCATTTTTCTTACAGAAATAAGTGAGAAATTTGTGGGGTGTGGAAATTCCTACAATCGAAATGGGATCAACCGATGGATCAAGTAAGGCTAAGTATTATCATGTGTCACAAATAGAACAAAGTATTTTCAAACCCAAAAATCACTTACAACCATGAACAGACGACCAATTTCATTTGGATTCTATAGCTTGGTTGAAAATAATTTCTTCCACGATCATCCTTTTTTGGGGGTATCATCTTGTTGCTTCAAGTGTAAATGAATATTAGCTGGATTTATATGGGAAATGTACCATTGTATCTATGGAAATCCTTTCCATGTATTTACATGAAAATGTTAGCGAATGTATGCAGCAAAAAGCAAACCTTCAAGGAATTCGAATAGAGATAAATGCATGAGAAAATTACGTTTCTTCATGTTTACAAATCAAGTTTAGGCTGATGGGTAGGAAATCAAAAAAGAGGTGTTCGATGCGATTTAACCTTTATTCCCGTCGAAGAAACCGGGTATACTGAAAAAGTGGAAGAAAACTAGGATTCTTTAAAGCTTTGCAGTAGTAGAACTAAAAAGCTGGAAAGCTTTGTTTCGCGAGATGCAAATTATTTCCAAATTCATAAATCAACTCTGAGTCTTGCCCGTGAATTTAAAGGTGGTATTCTGTTACGTGTTTGAATTAAATCATTAATCTAATAAAATTAATGATCGTAAATCAGAAAAATACTGGTAAATAAGAGGTCGATTCTACAAACTAAGCGACAAATGTATTCTCATGAATTCAACTTTTTGTACAGCAGTTTCCAGGTTTGGATAATTTGAGCTTGATCAGGCTAGCTTTTGCCTTTCAGGACTTTTATCAGATGCTTAGGCCAGACGATCAGCTCAAATCGAAACATTTTTTTCTCTCGAATTTTCAGGCTTTTTTTCATGGACAAATTGGATCCTGTTCCTGACCCTGGTCCTCACTGCTTCAGCTCATGCCCCGTTTTTTCCGCACGTCGCCTATGAGCAATACAGCAACGTTTACCCTGGCCTTTACCCACAATATTATCAAGCAGTCAGTCAATATCCTCAACATCCTCAAGGATACTTTCAAGCACAGTCACCGGCAATCCCATACTCTTACGCCTTTCCTGCTCACAATCCTGCTGTAGTGGTGCCCGGAATCGCACCAGCTGTTTACGCTCAAGACTTTGTCACCGGGGTTTATGGGCCGCACGCTGGTTCCCCAGCAGAGGGTTTCGCATTTCCGGTATACCCTGTTGTGAACGTTGCACCGAATGCTGAGAAGACGAGTGAATCTGAGAAGCAGGAGACAGCACAGGCTGATTATGCTGATAAGATAGACATTCGGGACTCGGTTTCTCAGGACAAAGCGAAAGTGAATGATGCGGTAGTTGACTTGAAAAACCCGTTGCCGGAATTGGACAAGAAAGCGGATTACGAGAAAACTCATGGTAATAAGAGTCACATATTCTTTGAACTGTACTAAAAAAAAATTGAAGGTCTCTCAATCGCATAGGTTTATGGCTATGAAATTGGTTTTCAAAAATGACCTATTCAGGTTACCATCATTTTTAAATGCAGTCGAATGCATCTAAATCTAACCCAACTTCGGGAGTTTTTGAGTATGGGGGACCAGGATTTTTGCTGAAGAAAAGTTAAAAAGCTTTATTGAGAATATTTTGGGCTTTGAACTGCTTGGCGAATGAATTGAAAGGACGTTGAACACAAAGGTAAGTGTAAATTAGCCCAATTTTTCTTTAACTTCTTTTTGAAGAACATCGCAAGTTTCATTTTTTATACTGTATTTTACTTCCAGGGTCCCCAGAAATATAACTGAAAGGACTATTAAATTTGGCGTTCTATAAGGTTTGAGGTGGAAAGTCTTCCAGCTACGGAAGTTTTCATCACATTGAGTTTGAGGAAATTCAAAATGAGACTAAAGAAAAAGTTTACACGCGTATAAGGATCAGGTTTTTGACTAACCCTTTGGCATTGGTGTTGGGATATTTTTGCAGGAATTTCCCACTATAGATGTTTTGAAATTGAAAAAAATGCACTGGTAAGTTTTGCCGAAGTTTGGGGAGAGTAAAAAGAAGAACCTCTTCCAAGGCAGGGTTTTGTCAACCTTCAGCCATAGGATTAACTTTGGGGGTGTGCTGGAATTTGACAATTTTCCTCCTGTGGCTCATCTAAATACTTCCCTGCTTATTCCACTGTGGCCTGGTGTCATTTTGGCAACCTCTGGTCAAACCAAAGTAGGCTGGACTGAAAAAAAAAACTCCTGAGAATGCCTCGCAATGTTTAAGAAACCTCCACCACCGAAGGGTTCATTGGGGAGGGTCAACTTAGCAAGGTCCAACTGCTATACAACCTTTTGGTATTTTAGATCCTCTTTTTAGCCCTTGCATATCATATCAAAATGTTCTTAAATGTAAAACTGCTGTTGTGAATTGGTTCAAGATTTACAAGCAATATTAATTATGTTATCTATGTGGCTTTTCATTCGGATTTTTAAGCTGATGCTGTGGCGAGTTTTAAGGCAGCCCGGGGCCAGAGAGCAAGAGCAATTTTGGGAATTGCCCCTGGAACTGCGGTTGGAGAAGCCTTCTTTTACCAAGCGTCATCTAGCAGTGAAATGGTGGTCATTGTAACCGGCAATGGAGCAGCTGCAGCTCAGGACATCGTGATAACCACTAATGCACCAGGACCAGCTTGTGCAGCTGGTGGAGCAGTTTTTAATCCCTCCAACGTGAGTAACTTGTCATGCCACAGTCTTCAATTGTTTACTGTTACGATTTTAAATCTTGACAAGTTTTGGGCAGGAATTTCAAAAACGTTAAGAACATATATACGGTACGCGGAGTTCTTTTTAGAGATATATTTTGCTATACTGATGTTATGTTGGAAGCATTCTAGAAATATTATTGTAAAATCCTACAGTCTTTTGAAAAAATAAAGCGCTGATTTGAATTTCACTGAATTTCATCGATTTTTTGTATGTACTAAGTGTAATCTCATATTTGGGGTAGAATAAATTTCAGGAAAAGCACCGTGATTGGCTTTTATAGTTCAATTTCGATAGCATTCCCCTAGAATGCCTCAAAGATTAATTATCTTATACAATATATTGTATCTTATGCAATACATTGTATCTTATACAATTTATTGCATCTTAACGAATACATTGTATCTCATGCAATACACGTGAACTCTCTCTACCCAGCAAATAATTTTGACGTTGCAAAATGCGTTGGGAGGGCGTTCTCGTATACGAACAGGGAAATTCAAGGACCAGAAAAAAATAGTTGCAGAGAGGATTTAGTTGCAGAGAACCTTTACAACATGGGGAGAGAACCTTATGGGAGAAAATGTTTCGTTCTACAGAGAAAATCTTTGCAAACAAAATCGTTGTATAGAAAGCCCGCCCGCATAATTTTTTCTCTAGTGACCGTCAGCGAGAAAGTACGAAGTAGTAAATCGTAAATTGAAGTTATATACAGTATAAAGGTGGTTGAATTTATCATCTCAATCAATAACAGATTATCAAAATACAACTGGAGAATGTAGCTTTCCAGCTTTCTCAGTTGACTCAAAAATTCACGATTCCGCAAAAATGTGCTTGCAGCAATGTGTCGAACACTTACCGCGAAGGAGTTGATACTGTGCATTGAATGTAATGAAAAAACACTGTCTTGAAAATAGTTTCCCATACGAACGGGAAGTAAATTGTATAATAATTTGGAAACCATCTACAACGAAACTGCAGTAGGGGCTTAACAAAATTCACTTCGGAGAGTCCCTATAACTATGGGAGTTAACCCTGTGGGACCAAAATAATGCGTTTGATAAAGATAATCGTTGTAGATTAGATTGTTTTATTGAAATTTACGGAGTTCATCTACGTTTTATTATGCTGGTGGTTTTAAGGCCTGCGAGTCGTAGATTTTGAAAGATATACCAGAATAAGTTAAATATTACTCATTTAAATTTATTTAAATTGAGACAGCAAAGCACTGATATAAAAAAAAAATTATTGCTCGAAGATCGCAAGTGGAGGAGTTCTGGCTGCCAACTCACCCTTGAATGGTGCAGCGGGAGTCAACTTCGTGTCTCGAAGAATTTCATCAGCAACTGCCTCATTGTATGATCCGAATTCAATTATTGGGCGTGGAGTCTTAGTTGCAGCAACGAATGCAAATCCGGGAACCGGAGCTGCAATTATTTGCGGTCAAATCGTCGCGGTATAGTTGGCAGAATCCACGCACGGAAAGCCGAAGACATGTCGTATTTTCTTGACAGTTTAGGTCTGAATTTTTCCTTGAGAATGTTCTCAAATACGCTGGTGGGGCCAACACTCCAAATATTCGTGCAGAAGGTCTCTTTGATTTGAAGAAAGCATGCCCATGTTGTCGATAATATTTTGGGATTTGTGTGGAATTTGCTTTGTAAGAAGGGAAACACAGTCATTGAGCTCGAAAGATTCCACAAAAAATTTTAATTCCAATTTCAATTCCCAGAAAGGCCGCAGTTTTTCCTAAAAAGTTTCAAATTATCATGTGGCCTACACATGCTGCCTGGAATCATATTGCGGCCTATATAGTCGCAAATGGTAACAGGAAGCAAGTCATGAGAACCCATATTGATTCAAAGAAAACAATAACGCTTACATTCAAAAAGCATTTAGCAACATTTCCTTAAGGCGCTCTTAGAAAATCAATAAATCTGAAATGTCGAAACAGTGTACAGTGCCTTCGATTGCTGACTCATATTTTCGAGTGACGTTATTTTTTTTTCTGTGAAAATTGTCCCGGAAAAATCCACAGTAAGAAAATTATTCCTTGTTCTCAGTGATTCGCTATGGTTATTTTTTCCCGTGCAATTTCATAAAACGCATTTATCTTAGTTCTTTCGTACTTTCATGCAGTTTTCGATCCAATGAGGTGTTTGAAGAAATAGTGAGATGTGGAGCTGTTTCTACATGATGAGGTGAGTCTGTGCATATTTTTATTCAGTGTCAAGTAAAATAATTGTTGTTGTACTTTCAGAAATCGATTGCTTCAAAGTACCCAAGAGAAAGCGGCATGACTTTTTTTATCCGGCACCGGATGTGAATCTCGGATGAAGAGTAGCCCATTCCTTATATCTGAAAACTAACTTATTCCAAAAGTACAGTATGGGTCTATTATTTAGACTTTTAGAGGAATTCCAAAGTCTTGTTTCTTATCATGATCGAAATGGATCCCGATTCTTATTTAAAAGCCTATTATCGAAAATTAGTCCTCCTTTATATTTTTTATACAAACTGAATGGTACTGATTATCCTCATATGATCTTCATGGTTCCGAATTATATTAAATTAGTGAGATTTATCTATGTGCATTTGGAAACAGTCCATTAAATCTAGCACTGCGGATTGGAGCAGCGTTGATTCTATACAGGGAAACTTTTCAACAACCAATTGTACAGTATACAGTTGGAAATCTCTAAGTCAAATTTCAAGGGACCAGCAAAAATTTCAAATAAGGGATGTTTTCAGTTATAGATGTTTGAGCTGTGGTACCAAGGAATTTTTGTGGTGGGAAACATATAAGAATTGTACTAAATTATAAATGGGGATATTCGGAGCCTTAAAGTATTTCTAAAATGAGTTGACAGGATGCTGAACTTTGAGACAGGGGCTCATTGGCCCAATTAAGGCTGTCAAATCATTTCAAAACGATTCAAATTCCATTTTTGTTTCTTTTTTTTCCTCTGTCACGAAAAAATAGCCAAAAGGCCTCAGAAAATTCGACTTATGGAGGTTTTAGAGGAAAAGCCTTTGAGTTAGGGAGGTTTTTAATGCATTGTGTCTATATACTGAGGGAATTCAGACAGGGACTTGGAAAAAATTTGACTTGGGGAGGTTCAACTTACCAAGGTTCAACTGTACTAGGAAATCTAGATATAATTGTTTGCTTTTGAACTTTCCTTAGTTTGAAATGTTCTCCGGGAAATGCACACGCAAAACATTAAGGAAATGAGGCCAACTCTGTCCTCATATGTATATGTTCATAAAGCAATTTGAACTCAATGCAAGGAAACAAATGGAGCTCTTCTCATCTGGCTGATATTGACGCTTATTCTTTTTACTAGATGTTGATTTTTTTTTAATTTCAACAGATGAAATTTCCAAGTATTTTATTTCCTTTTTTAAATATATCTTCGCTAACTGCTGAAAAGTTTGAATGCCTCTGACCACCATATTGGCGTGAATTTCCTGAGGGCTGGGTTTCTTTGTAACAAAGAATTTCTGGCTTTGATGTGACTGATTCGTGTTTCCCCAGCACAGAAGTCTTCTATTTGTTGAAAACGGAGGATTTCAATGGTCTTTTGTAATTCCATGCTTCAAATTAAATGAACTCGGAATCTGCATTGAAAAGCAGGGAAATCCAAGCGCTTAACGATGCTCATGCACACTGTTGAAAGGTTTATGAATGACTGGTACGCGTAATGTCTATGTTCAAAAATTATTGCTTGATGTGTCAGCTTGATCCAGAGATAATAAACTCGATTTGTACAATTTGCCTTTCCCTGTTTCCAGAATATCCCGATTTTTCATCGAATTCGTTACTCAGAAGATTTGGTTTCCTTTCCACAGGCTTCAAAGAGTAGATTGTAAAGGATGAGTTCTTCTCATGAAGAAAACCGAGCTGTTGGTGAGCGATTTTTGTTTCCTACGGTAATTCTTGATTCCGCAATTAATTATGCTTTTCAGTATTGCAGATCTTTTTTGCATTAGCCATCTCAGCAGCATTCGCTCATGGACAACACTTGATACCATTCGGGTATCAACCGTCAGGCTTTCCTCAGCCCCTGTACCCGTACCCAGGGTTCCCTCAGAATCACGTGCCGTTTTACGCCGTACCCACTTACGGAGTGCAATTCGCCGCCCAGTACCCTTATGTAGCAGAATCGGCAAAGGAAACAAAGCAAGACGAACGCTTTGATGGTATTTAAGAAAAACATTATAAATGTCGATGCTATATATGATTATGAAGAGACTGGGATTGAAACACGGTTCCGTGAACTTTTCTCCAACTATAGTTTTAATTCGAAATATTTTTTGATCGTTCACGCTTTCACATGTCATTGAAATATTTACGTGTATCATAGTCGAACGGGGTGGAAAAATTCTCAATCGAAAACACTGCGTATCCACTCGAATTCTTCTGATAAGATGCAATTGATTGTAAAACAAAAATATTGCTCTTGTCTGGAAAATAAAATTTGAGACGAGCTTTCATTTATAACACTCATTCTTCAGAATCAGAGGAATCAGTATGTTCTGATTATTTTTAGGCTGCACTTCTGATAGGAATCTTGATTTAATCTTGACTGTGCCTTAGAAATGAAGTATGTACTGGAAAAAGTATTCATTTATAAATTCCAGTCATGCATGGATCTATTTCAGAGAATAGATCCCTTCATCAGCGAAACTGATACGTCGTAAGGTGGAGTGGCGATTCTATGGAAGATGCAATCTCGTGTTTCAGTCTATTTTATCGAATAAAAGCAGCCTTCTTGTTGAGTCAATAATTTTTTTTAACATTTTCTCAAGACCATCATCAGGAGCTTTTGAGTGAATATGACCAATGTAAATATGATCATTCCGTTTTTTTTCTTTTCTTTTTTTTGCAGCTCCAACTTTCAAAGCTGGTTTCACATTTGATGCGAAAGCTGACTTGCGGTCCACATTGGGAGCCGGAACAGCCCAAGGCGAAGCGCATTTCCTCCGTGACGTCAAGACGACGTCAACGACAGTCGCAGTCGTGTTCTCATCCGCGGCGGCTCTCGCAGGACCGGTGACGATAGCTGTCCTTAATGGCGAGGATTGTTCAGTAGCAGGAACTGCTCCGGATTTCAATCCTAGCGGGGTGAGCAAATCTCAGGATCGCGGCTTGATTCAAGCGCTTGATAATTCTCACGTCCTTGTGGGCGGAAGCCTCTCGCTGTTGCTTTCGAGCGACATCTATACGTTGAGATCTCGTGCATTCGCCTGCGCGGAAAATGCAGGTAGATTGGTAGATGACCTCAGAAGGTTATTTACCTGAATTTCTAAGCTCCTTCCACAAATTTCTGTAATTAAATGGAGTCATTGGTCCATTCGCACGGGCTTTTTGACCCAGTGTTCCCCAACCTTGGGTCCGCGGACTGGCGCTGCTCCAAAGACTCTTTTGGTCAGACCGCGGGAAATATTCTTCAGGATAATACATTTATTGAAAGTAGCAGTGCAGTCTGCTTTCTTTATCTGGAACACTGCAAGTTTGCAAAGACAATATGGTAGTGTAAATTATCTGGTAAAAAATAAAAGTTGGCTCTTCTCCTGATACGGTGATTAGCACTTCACGCAAATTTCCACCTGCTGAAATAAATTATATTAATTTTTTTATTCTGAGAAAACTTCCTTCATGTCAACCTTTCAAATTTTTTGAAGACATTTCACTATTAGTCAGTCTTCGGGCCCAAAAAAAGTTGGGAACACTGATTTAACCTCTGTTCCAGAACCTTTCTTTCGTAAGAATAATTGACAAACCTATGTATACTATTCAATTTAACCAGTTCCCGGAAACCTCGCGATATTTTTTTTTCGTAGACGTCACCTGATTGATAATATAATTCATGAAACGTCCAGAAGATAAAAAAGAAGTGGTAAAGGTATTCATATTATTTTCAGAAGCACACGAACGGAAGGGAAGGATAAATCCCGAGAGTATTGAACTATTGATTTTAGTTTAGAATGATATTTCCTTTTTCCTTCCCATTGAATTAATTCCCTGACTCTCGCAATTTCACTCGCAATGCCTGACGCAGTCTACTTTTGTTGGCCTGTCAAAAGCTTCAAGTGAGGGAAATTAGGATAAAGATTAGCTAAGCAGTGAATCATCTGAGTTAATGACCAGGTATACCTTAATCCAAAATTTAGAACAAATAAGGAATGATCAGCAATTAAAGATTTCATTCGACAACAGAATGCAATATGTACTATAGAATGCTAGAAACCGTAATTTGAATAGGAAAATCATCATTATTTCCAAATACCCAGAAACCAGTACGAAATCCAATACATTACTGTGCCAGAACATCTGCGGAGTCCTGATCACTCCAATCAATCCCTTGCTTACTCAAAACTTACGTTAGATTGCAAGTATAGTCGATCAGGTACTGAGTATTTCGGTGCCGCTGTAAATGAATATATACTAATGTGAAATATGCTATGCATCCTTGTTAAGGGGGTTACATATCTTACTAAACTAACAGCAAAATCATCCCTTTGTAAAAATCTCCCAATTTCGGGTCCGGATGAAATCTCACACGATCGAAATTTTGAATTACAGGTGCCCAACGGAGGACAACTGTCATCTAGTGTCACACCGATCCAAAATACCGTGTATTACTTGGAGAGAAATATTCCTGACGACGTGATTTCTTTGGCTGGAACCAGGTCGGTTATTGGAAAGCTGCTGGTTCTGCGGAATGGAAACGTAGGTTTTGCTTGCGGCGTAATTACTGCTTTATGATTACCTATACCCAAGCCGGAAAGGACTGAACGAAATCTCGTTATGATGTTGCCGAAAAATGTTTCGTGAAATGACAATTTTGTGTTGAGCTGAACCTTACAGTGGGATGTCTGAAAAAAACTGACGCAAGCATCAGGAATTTTCCAGTCCCTGTATTAGCGTTAATAGATCTGAAATCTTTCCCTCGGATACAGTCGAGAGACTTCACCATATTTATTTCAATACAAATTGACGCTTACATTCAAGTTTGAACGTTGTACAAGTTTGTAAGCGCAGTTGGTGAACTGAAAAAAGAGTCGTTTGTTGCGAAAATTCGTTCGTGGAAATATATCAATGTCAAAGTTGCACATGTTAAGTTGTGGCGAGTTATTCTTCGTTTTCCGCCCGTTGGAGTCCCTTGAGGCACAGCCGAGGTTGACGAGCGATTTCACTCGCAATGCCTGACGACATTTGGAAAGGGGTTGTTGGAAAATTTGGCACTCTGAATGGCAAAAATAATATTCACATTTGTGGGATGCGTTTTTGTGGCGGGTAAGCGAAAACAGCCAGCAAAATTCCGGCACATGAATTTAAACTTTGAAAATGTTTGACCTTCCGAATTTCAGGAGGAATGTAAAAATGGAATCATGTAAGGCTTGCCAACACAGACTATTGAACTCGATTCAAAAACGATTTCTTAGAATAAATCTACATAAATATATGATCCAATGGACGAACTGTCTCATTCGTACACATTTTTGCGGTATCCTGAACTTCCTCAACAGCAGCATCTTTTCAACCTCTTCCTGTTGTGCCAGATATATTCCTCGACGCAATTCCTAAACAATTTTTTTCAACAACGAGAATCAATCAATCGAACCATTTTTATTGCTGACGAAAGCGTGACGAATTTCAAGTGGGAAAGGGAAAATCTAAATATTCCAAAATAAAGTATTGTATACAAAAATGAATTTGCTTAATAGATTTTTGGTCTCTCTACACATCAGCTACTCAATTTGGTTTTCTAAAAATGTCATAGCGTCAATATGGCATTTTTCAAAGATAAGTGAACGGACTTTCGTTTCTCCTTTAACATTTGAAAAGTTGTATCGACTCAGGCGATAGAAAACGCTCCTTCATTGCATTCTCAAAAACATAGCAGAATAATCCTTTCCAGCTCTTGATGAAAGGAACTCTATTCCGTATTTCCATTTATCCTCTAAAATTTGCCGGAATCCCCCCTCCCCCTTTTTTTAGTTTATCGTACATCAGGGCACAGCATGTGTATGCATGGGGTGAAATTTTGTCACGTCTATCATCACCCCGAGCAACTGACATGCAGTGAAAAATTCACAGATACCCAGTTTTGTTTGCGTTCATTCCCCTCTTCCCGTTCACACCCAGGATGTTGCAGGTCCCCCCTGCTTCCCCACGAGTTACACTCTGCTGGGGATGATCCGCTTTTCCGTTTGTTTATAACCCTGAGTAAGCCTTGAGTCAGTTCCGGGGAGTTCATCTTGAACCAGGACTCACCGCTGCTCTTGCCTCCAACAATTTCACTAAAGATGTGCTGGATTCTGAATTGATTTTCTGCTATGCGCTGTGAGAAAAAAAAATTGATATTTTAAGTTTTTTGATGAGTGACGTGGTTTGCGTCGCGGAAATTCAAGTAGAAAGGTTCATCAGAAGGAAAAAGGCGGCGGAACCCTTGCGCGAAAATAATGCTGTTTGCTACTACTTTTATGCTGCAGATAATTTTGGCTACATAGGAAAGAGCGCGGTGTTTTTTCCTGATGCTAAAATTTTGGTGATATCTGAAAAAAATAATCCTGTGTAAACCTAAGCATTCCATGGAAGAACACTATGGTATTGTCAAAAATTCCCTGAAATATTTCAGATCAGCTTATTTTACTGATCAAGCTTTCATGAACTATTTGGTGCAAACTCATTATTGTCTCCTGAAATTTTTCCTGTTTATTCATATTCTTGAATAATAAACTCAAATAAACTCGAATCATATCTGATAGAAATTAAGGAGCTCAAAATAAAAATTACGAATTCCACTTTTCCATTGACGAATGGTAATTAAGTGAATTGAAAATTAAATGCTGTGTATCTAACTTTCTGACTGTTGTTGCTTTGTTCGGTCAGTTTATTTCTCAGGATAATTGCCGTAAAAGAAGATGCATTTCTCAAAATTCTTCTTGAAGATCCTCTTAAGAAAAAAATCGAAAGCAGTCCGCTTTCGAAACGTTAGTTTAAAAAAAATGGAATATCTTTTTGTGAGAAAAATATCGTCTGTACGTGCACTAAACACACCAGGAAACAGCTGCATGGGTTCTTGCACTTGTATAGCCAATTTATATTCGTTAAAGTGAGTAAATACAACTTAAGATTGCGAGAAATACAAGTCGCAAATCTATCCCCGAAAATTGAGCGAAACAGCATATTTCCCTGAAAAAGAGCAAAAGGCAGCTGCGCTTTTTTATGTGGTGAAGCTGATGTTATCATTTATAGCTTACGCTTTTGATAAAACACTGCAAAAGGGTAGATAACCATACTTCGAAGAGCTTATACCTTTTTTACTACCAGCGTTTGATGAATCATGATTATTTTCGTGCACCATCTCTAATACATTCAGGTGAAAACAGTACGTGAATCCTTATCAAGTTCAACTACAAAATTGGATTCGACATTTAGCCTCGAGTTCATCTGCATGAAAATGAATGATATTCTGCGAATTGTTATTCGCAGATCGTTTCCGGAATATCAAACCGGAAGACCAAAACGTGATTAGGTTTGAAGAAGATTATTTCAGCTCTGTGACAAATCATGGTTCACGTCCTCCATAAATACGGATGTGAATAGAGTTATCAGGGGCTCATTCGGTTTGAAAATCGACGGCAGTCTTTAGCTTCAGACGTGGTCTTATCTGGTTTCGAGTATAACCGAAGGTGACGTTTAGTTGTTTGAAACTATTGGAAGTGACTCAGTAAAAGCCTTGAGAGCGCTAACATGAATAACTTCCCCTTTCCGATTCTGCCTTTCATGAAAAAAGAATTGTGGACTTTTTAATTTTATTTTTAAAAGCATTTTGTTATTTTTAAATTATAGTGATGCTTGAAATATTAAATTCCTCAAATATTTCACTGGGAAAATATTTAAATTTTTCGATCGCCGTATAGAACCTTCATTTATCAGCCAATTAATTATAAGAACCAAAATATTTTTCCTTGACGTTTGAAAAAATTGCTGTGGAAAAGTTTTTGAATATTCAACAACAAAACTAGCAACTTTAAAATTACCTGAAGTCATATTACTGTACCAGCATTTTTCAGGAATGTAAAGGAGCGACATATTTTCAAAATATAAAACTTTTTCCATGAAAAAGAAAGCTTTGTCTAAATAATTCTTGATTCTCATGAAAGATTTTATACTTTCGCGTTTATGAAATTTTGTTAGCTCACTGATAATTTCGTGTTGATTCAATTTTCCTTCGATTTCCATCAAAATCCATCGATTTACCGCAATAAAAACAACGGAAATGGATACGAAACAGCCCATTATTTCGCCTCCGTTTGATTTTATAATTATTATTGCACTTGATGAAGTGAACAGCTTATATCGTACGCATTATAAACGGACGATTCGACCTTTTTTCTCTCTTTTTCGACTCATTTTCTTTTCCAAATATACTGTATCAGTAATAAAATCTAAAAAGAAGTATTGCAACAAGTACGCGTATCGTTTCGTAGTTGATGCCATGAACATAAATCAAATACAATTCCGATGACTTGATGTAGAATGAATCTAGAATGTGAATTCACTGTGATGGAAAAACGTTCTCGTTTACCATATCAAAAATGGCAGGTGCGCTTATCTTGTATCGCCCGATTTCGGAAAACCAGACACACGTTACTCACTGTGTGTCAAACAAGGGTTTCCGACTTCGCCATATTGAAACTGGGTTCTCAGTAGGAAGGAGTCTTCTGAAGTGCATCGAGTTCAATTTTTGAACGGCTGAATATTTTTCAAACCTTTGATTCACGATTGTTTTTTTTTTTTTTTTACAAAATTATTTCGCGTTACAGGTGTTCGATCACTGCTGGTCCCTAAAACATCAGACATGCAGCAAGGAAGCATGAGTGAGTCTTTTTTTTATGTGTGAGAATTTTTTACTGTGAAAGTTTCCTCATTTGGGACTTCACTGTTAAATTTATGTTTCATTCTCCAGGGAATTTTCTGATCGCAATTTTGATTGCATCGTCCGTTTGCGTCAGTCATGCGCAATTTTTTGACGATGATCACGAAGACTCTGAGCATTCGACCTCGTCGTTGGCGCCAGCATCCCAGGGTCCACCACCGCCACCACCACCACCACCGCCGCCAGCGGCGCCACCAGCGGCTCCACCCATGGAACCCACGGAGGCACCTCGGAGTTATGAGGATTCACAAACTTTTACGCAAAGATTATCCGTGGACTTGGAAAGAATGCGAGATGATCTGAGCAAATATTTTGTCGGTACGAGGAACTTGGAAACGGATACTGAAAGTCTGGACGCGGTGAAGAAGTACATCATCGACACTTTCCAGCAAATCGGACTGAAACACAAAGTGCAAACTTTCGACACTGAAATTCCGATTTCAGATGGCGTCACGAACGAGGCAAGTTCTTTTTTTTTTCGAAAAATTTTTACTGTGCGGGGATCATGTGTTCTCGTACACGCAGTAGTTTGATTATAGACAATCTTTCATGATGTATATATTTGTATGCACAGCTTCACCGAGTCGAAAAATTCGAAAACTGTTTCAAGAATGTGATGAAAAAAACCTTCAAGTGAAGCACTTCGTGTATTCAAGTTTAAAATAAATCTTTCGAAGCAAGCATTTCGTGATCAAATCTTCAGATTTGCGATCATCCTCCGCGACCCAGATTTTTATGAGCTTGCTCAAAAATTGAAAAATTTCGGCAGAATTCAATTATTCAGGGAAATCAATGAAACAATTCCCAGGATCGGAGTTTTTAAATCGAAAATAGGTTGCTAGATTTGGGACATTGTCACTGAGAATACAAGATGTTTCAAATAGTTTAAATCACTTGGTAGTATCACCTGCAAATTCCTAAAACATGCAAGTTTGGTTGGTGAACCTTCTTTGTGATGCCATGCAATTGTATCTTCCGTCTTCTCTACATTTCAACAAAGATCGGGAAGATTAGAAGAATATCCAGGAAACAATCAAATATTCGTTTATAAAACTCTAACCCGCAATCACGACAGTTTTCAAGTATAGAGAAGCACGAAATCCGACAAAACTTCGCCTCTTATGTTTCTCAACATGCCAACTCGACTTCCGCCTATTTTTCAGCAGCTTAGATACCTTTCTTTTTGTGTAAAAATGGGACATTTCTTTCAGGTTAAAGGGGCTAACGTCATTGCTGAGCTGAGAGGCATCAATTGGAACACTGCTGCCGACAAATTGTATGTTGTTGGAGCACATTATGACACAACAAAAACTTCTGAAGGTGTGAATGACAACGGCTCCGGAGTCATGGCAATGCTAGAGATTGCCAGAATGTTGAAAACGCGATCAATCAACAACGACAACTGCAAGCACTTCCATTCCGTCGTCTTCGTCGCTTTCGACATTCAAATTCGCGAGGATGTGAGTAAAAATTTTTGCGCATTTCGTAATCCGTTCTGGAAATCAGGATATAAACATAATATTGTAGTTCATCACGATGAAAAAAAAAAGAATTAGCACGGCCATATCACTCAAAAAATGGAAAGAACCCAGATTTAAAAAATCCGAACTTGAAGGATAAAAATACAGGTGGCAATTTTGTCTTGAAGAGAGGCCCAATTTAATATGAGAAGAAAGTTCGATTATTTTCGCACTGGAATCTTTTGAATGTCGATTCCATCGCTGACGATTTATGCTTTTTTACGGCTCTCGGGACTTGAAATTCGAGAAAATTGATTGAAAAGCACGTATAAAAGGCTCAAGACGTGCAGATATCAGAAAAACAAATTTTTTAATCTAGTTCTTGGATTTCCTGCACTCTGAACAAGACAAATTGAGATAAGACATTGCCCTCTACTTGGCTAAAGCAACAAGATAAAATGATGCCCCATGTTCCCCTTTCTCGAGAAACCCAATCGCGGTTGATAACCATGATGTCAATTCGAGTTTAAGTCTATTTTTTTCTCACTAAATTCATACGTTAGAAACTGATATCATGAATGCTTCAGAATACGATCGAGCTTCAGGGCTTTAAACTTATGGCAGTATTTAATCAGGTATATGGGGGTACTGCAGTACTGTACATTACACAGCCGATGTTATCCTAAAACGCGTGAAAACTGCAAATAAGTTGATTTTTGATTAAGAAAATCCATGCAATCGCATCTATTTTTTAATCGACTTTTTAAATTACTGAGTCAAGTTTTAATAATATAATCACGATGCGTTGAATAAGTTAAAACCTAGAATTTCGAAACAGAAAAGGTTCACATGAAGAAACCCTCAATAAACCTGCAACTCTTCTTGAAGATTTATGAAGAAAAATATGCTGTCAAACATAAATTATAAGCTTCACATGTCGACTTCATTCATTATTTGATCAAGATTGTCTGAAAAATCTTCTAAAAAAATAGTGCCTAAAAAATCTGTTGAAGGTCAGTCGATGAATTCAAAGTCTTGAAAGTTGTGCAGGATAAAAGAATGCAATTTTTCGCCAGATTGGCAACCTGTTGATCAGAGCAATAATAACCTTCATGTACATCGTTTTCCGATCATAAAATAATCTTGAATTCCAGTTGAATATTTTTGAACTTGTAGGAAAAATGTTTCCTGATTTTTAATTTCAGACGAATGCAGCAGCAGGTGGTGGAATCACAGGGAGCCAGTATTTCATTAAAAGCTATTTGGACCCAATCCTCAAAAAACATGGCAAAGAAAGCTTTGCTGGGGCGATTATTTTGGACTCGGTCATGAATTTCAACGACTCTGTCAACGCCCAAAGGCCGGAAGGCTTCAAAAATGTAAGCTGACCTTACATTGTTTTGTATGAATAAATCAAGAACCTCAGCTTGACATAAAATAATTTTCCGACCCACAGTTTTTCCCAAGCGTCTACGAAACAATTGTCAAAGACGAAAAACGTGGAAATTCGATGTTTCTTCTCAACTCCCCGGCTGAAGATGACCTCGCAGACGATGTACTGAAGTATTGGAATGAAGCTTCCGAGTTGGTCAGTGGAAAGGCGCCTCTGTATAAGGCGTCCGTGGACGCCGAAAGTGCATCTCAGGCGTCACCGGAAGGATTGTTGCACTTCCTCAAACAAGACCACGTACCGTTTTGGCAATTTTTCAGAACCACTGAAGAGCATATCCATCTTCCTGCCATTCTATTGACTGATTCAGGTGACGATACATTTATTTTCATTTTTGAATGCTAGCTTCAGCTCAATTTTACTGATCGTTTTGCAAACGTGGGCTCGATCTAAGTTTTTTCTGAAGACATCCAAAAGGAAGGTTTAGGTCAATGTGAAATTCCGTTTTGGTGTAAAACTATTTTTATACTCTGCCGAAAATCAGCAGGAACAATTCTCAGCATCAGTCTCTCGCCTTCCACGCTCAAAGACAGTTAAATAACCATGATAGAAATTCATGAAACATTCATTTTGAATTCAATAAATATGTTGCCAAAAAATACTGTAACGCACGAATATTGAAGACATTTTTTGAATCTAAATTTTTCGTTCCCGTATTGTCCATTTGAAACAGATGATTCAATCAGAATCTGAGATCGAAAAACATTCGCGGGATTTCTGAAACATTAATTTTTCATTCAAATGTTTCAAAAGGTGACTGGAGACAAGGTAACATGAAATGCTACCCCAACTCTCCATACTGTTCGGCTGAAGATTATCTAACAGACAAACGGATGAATTTCCTGTCCAAAACGATCAAAGCACTGGAAGCACTGCTGTCCGCTGGAGATTGTGAAATTACTTCAGGTAATTCATTCTTAATCTAAGTAAGGCTTATTGTCCAAATTTTATACTCCTGGACTCCTTCTCTTATTACAAAGGTGCTCAAGGAACATCGCAAATAAGCTCGGCAGCAAGCGTGATTCTTGCTGTAGGAGTTTCAGCTCTAGCCCGTTTCATGGGAAGGCTCTGAAGAGGAACAAAAAACCCTGAATTTTTCTACCATTTCATCTTTTTTTTGTTGAATTTTTTCTCAATGTTCTCGGAGGACTTGGACTTCGATTCCGTAACTGCTGAGTGAAGGGTGAGGCCAGAAAAATGCTCTGGACTCTGGCATTTGGAAGTGACTTATAAAATGACGGCATGCTCTGACCTTTTATTGTTTCATGGCTGATTATTTTCTTTCGCCCTTCATTCAATTGTTTCAAGACACCAAGGGAAGTTGATCCGGTAATTTTAAAAATTCCGGATCTTCGATTTGTTCGACGATATGGATGAGTCATTATTTTGGATAATTTAGAAATACTGTATGGCAAAAAATGTCGCATTTCTTGATGCATATACGGGGTTAAACATGCCTTTCTAAGATTATTTCAAGATTCCCCATTCCTGAAAATAGTCGAAGAACAGCATAAATTTTGGATTGACGTGCTTTTCTAAAAGATTTTGGGTTGCCAATAAAGTCACAGAGATATATTCATGTTAGACCTTCAGAGCAATAAAAAATATGATAATCCGATCAAACAGCCAAAAACCTTCATGGAAACGATAATATTCAAACACTCTTCGCGTGAAATTTCTTTAAAATTAAAAAACTCACAAATGCTAGTTTCAAGTCAATGTGCTTTATATTGAGCATGGGATGAACCGTGTTTTTCCATGAATACCTTATTCACGCGACAATAATAGGCCGCACCCTAATTTCCGGGAACTATTTCCGGGAAGGAATCGCAGCACCAAAAAATTCGAATTCTGCTGAAGAAAATTCTAAAAACGCATCGTCACGAACAGGAATCGATTTTGATCAGACGTGAATAAACGTTGCACGAACAGTCTTTCGCGCTACGAAAGATTATCTACCTTTGGAATATCTCTGACCAGCATGTATAAAATAATTTGTACTTGATTTTTGACGATTTCAATTTTATAGAATATTTCGCGTCCTCTCTCGGATGAATTTTAGCACAAATCTGAGACGGTATAAAATCTATAGATCGCATTTTGTAAGTCAGACAAGCCCATTAATGGATTTTCTGCGCATGGGCCATTTATCAGCCTTTTCGAGCACACAGTTCTTTCGTGAAATTGACTCTTAAATTTTTTCCGACGCTGAATTATCCTCTGTACAACACATCCTCGTCGTCTTCTTCCACCGAATAGTTGTTTAGAAGCGGAGAATCCGAGCCACAATCGCCGTTCAACATTTTCTTGTGTATAGACGGGAAAATATGTTTTTCCCCGTCCTCTACATCGTAGAAATCATTTCCTTCGTTCTTCGCGGGGAAATTCATGGTCGAATTGCTGCATTTCACTGTTGGAACACCAGCCTCGTTTCTGAAAGTCATGAAGGCCCAGAGCAGGACGAAAGATCCGGTCAGCAACGCGATTGCGAGAAACATGACTTTGATTTTCATGCCGGTATGGTGGTCAGACGAATCGAAAGTCCACTCTAAAAAAGCAACAACAAAAAACATTGAGAAAAATGATTGCGTAATGCAGTTATCTCACCGAACTGGGAGAAGAAAGAGTATAATTTGGCAAGAGAGCGTATAAAAAGATAACTTGTCTAAGCTTCACAACTTATATAGAGTGAGCTGATTTTGTAGGAGATCAATTTTTCAGTTTGATTGAATAAAAAATTATCTCTGTGCGAAATCAAGTCAAGTAGTATGCTGCGTATATCATAAGCAGCACAGAAATTGTTGAAACGCTGATGAGTTCAAGTTTAATTTCTTCATAGTTTCCCTTTATGATTTATTCACGCAAAAAAAGCCGGCTCATCAAACATACCAGTCCTCTCATTCTTTTCAGTGAAATCTAGATCTATATTGTGCAAATCTTCCACGCGGACGTATTAATCTAAAATTTTGAATAAAACTGATGAAAGAATGCGGAAGATTAGGACCTAGATGTCAGGAATTCTTTTAAATGTGCCAGTGATGAACACAATATTGATTTTCAGTTCGCATGATTGACAACTGTGACTGACCATTAACGAGGGAGGTTCGTGATTTGGCATTTACGTGCTCACAATTATCCAGACATGTATTTTGATAAATTTACGACACACAAAAGGCAGAAATAACCCAAAAATAATTTAAGAAGGGTGGAGGGAATATCATTCAAAGTTTTCTTTGTGCATGAAGATATTGTAGAAGACAGGCCATTAGCAGAATCATAATCAACGTCTGACCCCCTAATATACATCCTTGCATATACAGTATTTGTAAAAGGTTGCAACATTTTTTACCATAGAAAATTATACGAAGGTAAATTCCAGTGACAGATGTGAATGATATATCCGTGTTAGATGTAAGTAGATCGAGTTTTTTATTTTTAAAAAATTGGATGACTTATCCTCCTTTGTAAAAGAGTGGGCTCGAATAACGAAATAAAAGCCTTTGGAAAATGAATTAAAACGTGAATTATTTGGCAATGACCTTTTTGCAAGCGAATAGATTTAAAAAAAAAGATGAGGACACACGCGTGAGCTGAAAATTCCAGCGAAACAAAGCAATACTTATGACTGAATGTGCTTCGCAGAAACTGAATCGAAAATTGGTTGTCAATGTTCCAAAGCATGCAAAATCCTTAATGTAATTTTGTAAAAAAGATTTGCGTCAACTCGCCACTGCCCAGAGGTGGATACAAAAGGAAGGCGGCAACAATGAACCAAACGCCATCGATCAAAACCATTGTCCATTTTCCCAATTGAGCTACATCGTTGTTTTTGTCCAACATAGCCCAAATTCCAAAACAGAGAGCTCCAGTCAAGGAAATGATCATCATGGAATGAACCTTGAAAACGAAAAATTTCCTCGGTATAGACAAGTAAAATTGCAGAAAAATGAACTATCTTCTCTGCGATGCCGAACTTGGTGCAAGAATTGTAATGTAACATATTTTGCGCTGATTTCAGATTAAAAAAAAAGTACTCACACTTCCGTTGATTGACGCTTTCATTGCAGAATGACCGTGAAGTAGCATTATTTGCACCAGAAATGCAACAAACAGGCTGATGTGAGTCAGATCATGAGGAATTTTCCATCCGGACGACATCAAAATTTGTTGCCAAGCAAGCACAAAAAATGGCGTGTACATGATTATATGCTGTATATTTTCAATGGGCGTAGGGTTGTTTACTCTTAGGAAGAACAAATCCGAAAGCTCCACTGCGAAGGATATAAACAAAAAACGGAGGTAAAATTTTCCATATTCAAACCGGCAGATAAAAATATTGATGAATATTTGAAGAACCGCATTCCGCACTCAATTGAGTTGAATATACTTGCTTATCCAGCCGACAGATGAGCCAACGATGAGCAGAATTGCCAGTAAATCCCTACTTTCATTCAAAGACACATTAAAAAGTGTGGTTCCGTGCCATTTGTTGAGTTTTTTTCGCGATGCAAAATCCACAGCTCCGTGCCTTCGCGCAATTTTAATATTTGCGAACGTAGCATTCAAGGCTATGATTCCCATCAGCAAAAGTGAGGCACCCGGCGAGACATGCCCGAAGAAAGAGCCCATTTCTGCAAAATTTGTCCTTCGCAGAGAAAAAAAAAACACAAATCAATGCACTGTATTTAAACTATGCAGTAGTATGAATTGAATCTCAAGACATGGATTGGAACAGCAATTTTCTTCTTAATCGCGAATCCAAGAGAGACTTGCTGATTTTGCCAATGCAGCTTATCTGAAATTATATTTTCTGAACAACGAATTATAAAACCAAAATTTGTCGTAGAAAAATCCAACTCCGCTGATTTTTTTATGAACACCCTAATAACATGCGAGGCTTTCACCTCTGGTATTAAAATTCAAGGTTTAAATTTCGCTCTTAAGTAGTAATTTTAAATATTGTACCTGTATTCAAAACTGCGGAAATAACACCAATAAGCTGATTTTTTTGTTATTCACTGTCTTCATTTTCCAAATTTGATTACTCTACAAATGAAAGCAGGTCAGCACCGTTCATGGAAATTACTCTAAACCAATTCATTCTATACAAGAATAGAACACGTTTTTTTCTGATTTTTAAAATCTTCTTCGGGATAAATATATTCTACAGTACATGCGTGTGCCACGTACTACCTTATCACGAGGTATACGCGAAAAATCCACCATTTCTAAACAAGAAAGTAAGAAGACATTTATATTTTTTGCATCGAATGACGGCGACAAAAGAAAACTGAATGTATCATCCTGCTCGCACAGAAATAGAAATAAAGACACGTACAGGAATGTTTCAATAAGTAACTTCACAAATTCCAAAATACATATAACCTCTGCTTTAGAATACCACACTTGAAAAATATTGCCAGAAAACTTACTTGAACAAATATTCACGGTTTTTTTTGGGTATAGGCTCCAATCTTATTCAAATTTACTTATTTACTGTACTTGGAATATAAAACATGCATGTGCGAGGAAATATTTCAGGCATATGCCTGACTATTCTATAGTTCTGAAGTTATCCTGTAGCAAGCTGTTCCATTCAGATGCTCTAAACTCTGAAATACTGTAATCCATTTTACCGCTTCATTTCAGGAAACACGATTTGAGACAGAGAAAAGCAGAGATTCTGTTTCAGTCCCCAAAAGATGTCACTGCCACATGAACAAAAATGCAGTGCAATGCACTAGAGCAGTGTTATTCAACCTTAGGGCCTGTGGACCTGCAAATTTCCATACAAGTTTTTGCAGACTGGCAAATTTCCATAAAATTGTTTGTGGACTGGCGCATGAAAAAAAACTGCAGACTTGTCAAGTTTAACAACATTTTTGCAGACTCAAAAAGTTCCTTTGAAAGACTTTATGGCAGGTGTTTGAACGTTTCTGCTTATTTTGGAAAAGCTTAGCTGAGAACTGATGATGCAACTGTAGTGGGATGTCTTCAAAAATTAGAAACATGGGCTTCAAAAAAGGTTTCTCAGAAAGAAAAAAATAATAATTTAATTTAGCAGGTAGAAGTTTGTCTGAATTGTTATCCGGAGAAAAGCCAACATTCATTTTCCTCAGATAATTTCAACTGACATTGTCTTTCCAAAATTTCAGATAAAGATGATTTATTATTGCTTTTGATAATTGAAAAATCCTGCAAAATTGTGTTTTGAGCCAGGTGTAACACTGTTTTGCTTGCCGTATTTTCTATGGCTTT